GGCGGGGCGCGGGGGTGGGTGGGTGGCTCTGGCACATCGGTACCAATTAGCTGCGTGCGCCTCGTGCAGCTCGCTCGAGTGCAGTGCAGTGCAATGCAGGGCAATGCAATGTATAGTGCAGTACCGTGCAGTATGTAGCACAAGCGCGTGGAAAAAGAACCTTTTTTTAAAACGAAGCTTTTGAACATGTTACCTTTTTCCCACCTTTTAATTTTTGTGTAAAAACAATTTTTCTCAAAATATTTTTTACACCAAATCTCTTGTGTACAGAACGCTTAAAAATGGAAAAAGGGGTGAAAGCTGAAGGGCCTATATTATTGTTCCGCCACTGTGTTAAAAATTCTTGACTACGCTGTTTGAACATTAACGCATTTGCTCGCACCTGCCCGCAGCTTCGACGTCCGTGGCCGGACCTTCGAGCACGCCAAACTGTGGTCTTCGAACGTGTTCGGGGACCGGGCCAAGTTCCGCCCCAAGTCGGGCGCCGGCCCCGCCCAGCTGGTCCTGGACGGCGTCACGGCAGACGACCAGGGCGTGTACCGCTGCAGGGTGGACTTCAAGAACTCGCCCACCAGGAACATGAAGGTCAACCTCACCGTCATAGGTAAGGCACGACGAGCTGGCGCACTCCGTAGCACCCCTCGGCACTGGAATCACGAAATCGGTACACGAGGTACGCGTCTCGCGTACAGGAGCGTCGGAAAGCACGCCCGCTTTTCTTATATTCATTCGGCAAATTACGTAGGAGGGGGAGCTCAGCGCCTGTGACATTTAGGGTAGGCTAATCCGCAATACACGCATGCATCGCAGGCAAGGTGTTGCATAGCTACCAGGCACCCGGAGCTAGAGCTCGCGCCATTACAGGCTGAACGTGGTATATAACTGCGAATAAAACCACTTATTTTATGTCTGCAAGTGGAGTTACTTCAGAAAGCTGGAACCCCGATTTGTTTGATTTTTTATCTATTTTGTCATCATGTGTGAAAAAAGTTTTGATGTCATTATGTTTTTGTTGCCAAGAGTAAAGTACCCGCGTCAAACTTCCCAAAAGTGTTAGTCTGACGAAGTCGATTTTCCTCTTAACGTGTCATTGGTGTGAAAAATAGATGAAATCGGCGTCACAGTGTACTTGCACGCTACGCGCACTGGGTCGGCAGCGGGGCAAAGTTCTTGGTTTAATTAGTGTGTCAGGTGATGAACCGGAGGAGGGCGCGGAAGGGGGGCGGGGGAGAGAGACGGG